CGTCATTAAGTGTTCTCCACACCCAATTGATGAGAAAAGCGATTTAGGGAGTCAATTGATCGTTAACCCGAGTGTTGCTATCGCATAATTCATTTTCCAAAATGATGATAAATGTGTTGTTGAAAATAAGTATAAAATACCGATAAGTTGAAGATTAAGACACAGTGCAACAGTTTGCGTATCTTTATTGTATGTAAGTTTCGCCTACACAGTTAGACTTCTTTCAGTCAAATACTAATGAACATTAGAAATGACCAAAAACTCCAACGGCGGTTCTTCAGACTAACATCTTGCGTCAGGAAACACTGTCTTGTTTCCTGACTAAACCTTGACCTAACGACCAAGGTTGAGGACTGAATTACATCATTATTATTTAATTTCTGCTGCACCCTTGTATTTAAACTACATAAGAGTGCCAAAAGATGCTAGTCATTTCCCTGCTGACAATTCAAATTAATACTCACCGTAAAACTTTTCTAGTCTTTCTAGTTTCAGAATTATAATCTGAGCACAATATCCCGCACACAGAGACTGAAGCTTATGACGACCTTCCAGTCCGGGGTTGGGGGGGGTGGGGGGGGGGGGGGGGGGGGGGGGGGGTGGGGGGGGGTGGGGGGTGGTTGTGGGGGGGGGGGGGGGGGGGGGGGTTTTATTTTGGGTTTTTTTTTTTTGTGGGTTTTTAATTAATTTGGGGGGGGGGGGGGGTGGGGGGGGGGGGGGGGGGGGGTTGTGGGGGGGGGGGGTGTATATTGGGAATTGTTTTTGTTTTTTAGGTGTGTTTTGTTATTATTATGGATTTTTGAATTGTATTGGATTTTTTTAAGGTGATTTATGATTTTTGGCATTAAAAAAAAGTAAGAATTAAATTATAATGGATTTGTTTGGAGATGATTTATTAATAAGTTGGTTTTTATAGAAGTATATTGCTGAGGGTTTACTCTAAATCCCTGGTTTAGGAAGTAAAGTATTCTTGGTTATGATGACAAGTTCCGTGGCAGTCCTTAATGAGCCTTGGTATCGGTATCTTTAAACACCCATTAATCAACCACACAACCCAGTTTCTATACAACACCATTGGACAACCTATATATTCCTTCTACATATTCGTCTTATTAAGATTTAGTTCCAAATAATCTAAAAATGCTCATAAAATATAGACTGTGTATTAATGATGATAATGATTATAGATTTGCTCATAAAATGATCATTACATATTATTTCATGATAATGATTTATATATTAGTTCATCTAGGGATTTATTATATATCATGATTTATATAAACATTATAATTTTAACTACAGAAGTTATACAATTTTTTTAAGTTGTGGTAATTAAGGAAACATTAATGATAATTAAGAAAATTAGTTCATATAGTTCGTTTTTACCTGCAGTTAACCCATATGAACATTTTATTCTTTTGTGCCTAGAACGAACAAACTATATAATCCTCGAGAATAACGCAAAATTTTTCAACTTTGTCCATTTCCTCACTTCCTCCAAATAATATGTTGATAGTTTCACACATACACATACATGTATGCGTGTTTCGTGTTGTGTGTGCATTAAGTATGCGAGCCCACTGCGGTGGTAAGCAAATATGTATTCAGGCACTTTCACATGCAAGGCATTGCATCTGAATGAGAGTAGAAAGAAGAGTTTTATATGGTTTTACCTGGCACACACTTGTTCATCAACAGAAGGAAGACCGATAATCTTTTTTTTAATATTAACTTTGCGGAGGTTATGTTAGGTTAGGTCAGGTTTAGGTTAGTTTAGGTAGGTTAGGATAGGTAAGTGCTAGGTTAGGTTAGGTTAGTTTATGTTAGGTTAGGTTAGGTAAGTGTTAGGTAAGGGTTAGGTTAGGTTAGGTTAGGTTAGGTTAGGTAGTCAGGTTAGTATGGTTAGGTAAGGTTTAGGTTTGGTTAGGTAAGATTAGGTTAGTTAGGTTAGGTTAGGTAAGGTTTAGGTTAGGTAGGTTAGGTAATGTGAGGTTTGTAGTTAGGTTAGGTGAAGGTTAGTTTGGGTTAGGTAAGGTTTGGTTAGGTAAGGTTAGGTTAGTAAGGTTAGGTAGGTTAGGTTAGGTAAGGATAGCTTTGGTAGGTAAGGTAAGGGTTTGGTTAGGTAAGGTTAGTTAGGTTTAGGTAAGGTTAGCTAGGTAGTGTTAGGTTTAGGTTTAAGTAAGGTTAGTTAGGTTAGGTTACGTAAGTTAAGGTTAGGGTTAGGTAAGGTTTCGTCAGGAAACAGACAAGTTTTCCTGAAGGCGGGTCTTAGTGGCGCAATAACCTTTCCTGGATTCAATGCGTGATTTATTTAACTACGCATAAGATGTCAGTTTTAGGCCAAAATTAATAATTAGAGAACATTACTATTATTTTTGCACATAAATGTCAATGCACTTAAGAATATATTTTACGTCTTTTAAAATTTTTTTCCTACAATGTTATTATCTATGTGTATATACGATATACGAGATTGCAAATTTGGAAATCTAAGTTTTTATATTTAATTTGATATCCAATCTGTTATAACCGAAACATTTGATTAAAAGAATTCAGAACAATGAATTGCAACAAGATTTTTATGAAAATGGGTGACCCATGGTGTAACTAATGCCTATTAAGTCAAGATCCATAAAAAAGGATTTGAACTCAAAGTTTCGTAAAAAAATGTCTTTGTGTCGTTGTGCGCATCTGACAGTATATAAAGTAACTTTGTAGAATTAAGAATATTTACATTTTTAAACTGTAGTAGAATCAGAACTTGAAATGCTTATCAGAGAATGAATGAAATCATACAGAAAACAAATATCTGCTTGATTTACAGCCTGTCGATTGTTTTAAAGCATTCACGTAATCTTTTAACTAGCAAAATTATTTATTCCCCAAACATACGGTATTAACGAGAGTAAAACTACTTCAGCAAGTACAAAAGTTGAGAGAAATAAGGCTCTTTGTGAATATATCCTGTGATCCACTTGGTATATCGGCGGAGCGTAGAAAGTAAAAACCAGTATAAAAAAAAAAATAGAATTACTTTGAACGCTTTGGTCTATACAGACTGAATGTGACAGAAAATTACAATGGAAGATGTTTTTGAAAATATTATCTTTCTTGCAGTGACGACCAGAAAATCAGCATTGACCAGCAGACTACGCCCTACTGACAGGTCCTAAAATTCTTTCTTACTACGAGGATTACTCAACGTCTCGTTCCCTCAACCCAAGCTGGATATGATCGCACTTCCTGACCTCTCGGCTGCTGCTATGGAAAACTGGGGACTCATACCTACAGTCAGAAATAACAACACTGCACTAGGCAAGACTCGAACCCATGCTGCTTGGCCCTGGCCTCATGGTTGGCAGAAAACGCAATGACGCCTCTAATCCACTGGTACCATACGATCCTTAAAAGTAGGGCATCCAGCGAACTGGATGTGGTTACTCCCTACCCATGGACACACGATGGTTGTGGATGACTCTGGCAAATTTCATTCTAGTCCCTGTTTAGGTGTACTAGGTTCAACGTGCAGTATTTATATTAATAAGGATCGTGTGGTTCAGTGGATAAGGGCGTCATGTGGTTTTTCGCCCACCAATGAGGTAGGCCAAAGCAGCATGGGTGTCGTGAGTCCTTGGCTATGCAGTGTTTGTTATTGATCATACCACTCGTTCATTGTTACAATAATATATATATATATATAAATATATAATATATTTAAATATATAATATAATATATATATATATATGATATAATACAAGTAACAACACTTGCGGCTAGCATAGGATTCGAACCCATATTCGTTTTGTGCCCATCTCAGGTGGGCAAATAATCACACATGACGCGTACAACCCATGAACCACGCAATCCTATAAGAATGATACACTCAGTAAGTACTAGGTTTTTTTTAAAAAAACTGTCATCCGAAGGATATACGGGTGGTGCGGGGGCCTTTTGAGCTAATTTCGTTCCCCTCCCCACACACCTTGTATGTCCTCGAATGACGGTAAAACATATAAATATATATATATATATTATATATAGATATATATAGATATATATAGTATAGTAATATATATATAAATATATATATAATATATATATAAAAATATATATACATATAATATATATATAATATATATATATATAATATATATATATATATATATATATAATATAAGTATAAAAATATATAATAAATATAAATATATATATATAAATATATATATATATATTATATATATAAAATATATTATAATATATAATATATATAAAATGCATAGAATTTTTTTGTTTCGTCCTATATAAAACATATTAAATATAAGTTACCACGGTATTCCACGTTTCTCCGAAATAAATTCCTGCTTTCCTATTTCAATTCACATCTCTTTGCGCAACGTAATTCTGTGTATTTAGTGCCATAGTACTAGCATATAGTAATATTATTATCATTATCATATAGTACACAAAAAATTATCAATTGAGTCTAGTCCTATGCAGCCAGACAGCATGCTGTATGAACCCAGAGGTGTCGTCAGCGTGGGACAAGCGTGTGGGGTAGCTGGGGTGGTGTCCCACGAGCTGTGATTCACCAGTGTTTGCAATCTCGTCACCCTAGGCTGGTGGACAGACCTTTGGCTCAATGAAGGATTTGCTTCCTTCATGGAATACATCTGGAGTGGACCATGTTGAGTTGCCTGCAGGGTCAGCTTTTAAACACTGGGGATATAGGCAGGATCCTTTCAGTATATTTGTGGTTGACAGCAAAGGGAAGAGTTGTCGAGGCTATATAAAATATACTTCTACTGTATCCTGTTAAACTAAAATTGAAATAAAATTTAAGTTACATTAATTGAACCACAGATTGGTTGTTATCGCAATGCAAAAAAAAAAAAAAACAATAAACTACGAACAAAGTAAATTCACAGTTGTGTAAAATGTGTTGTAAAGAATGAAACTAACTGAACTAAAATAAATTTTATTACTGTTGTACGATACTTACAAGTTTCCTGAATAAGACACATGTGTAACATATAGATATCCTAAATGCGTAGAAACTTTTTCAACTGGCAAAACAGGCGTCTTTCCAGCCGAACGCAGGCGTAAAAAAAAAAAATATATAACCCTTACAGTAGTTATTTTTTATCGGATAAGTCCTGACACCCTTGGGAGGAGGTGGTCAGTCCCTCAGGGTTAAGGTACAGGCATGCTTAAGATTGGCTTACGCTTGTTCACCTCACTTAATGGACAGAAGAAGCCTGTTGTGAAGCGAAAGGTTCCGTTAAAACGATAATAGTATGTTGCACATGTAATTTTATTCATTTATATAAATTTATGTATTGAAATGAAACGCTTAAAAAACATAGAACCTGAAAATTATACAATACGTTGAAAGCTTCCAAATACACGCACAAAGGACATTGATTATTTATGAAACATTTGTTTGGTAAACACGTATCAACACTTAAGAATCGTTTATTCGGAAACGTTTCGCCTACACAGTAGGCTTCTTTAGTCGAGTAACATGAAAGTTGGATAGGAAAGCAGAAGAGAGACTTTGAAGACCGATTAATCATGAATCACCCTTGAACGTTTTGAGGTGGTCAGTACCCTCAGTCTGAGAGGAGTGTTGTTCCATAGTCTAAACAATATGGAGTTGAAGTACAGGATGGAGCCTTATATACCGCCAGAGGTGAGATGTAGCCACTAGTAAAGGTATATATATATATATATATATATATATATAAAATATATATATAATATATATATATATATATATATAATATATATATTTAAATATATATATATATATATATATAAAACAGTCATAAGGGAATAGCCAACATGAGGAGGTCAATGACATAAAGAGAAGCCTCGCCACAGCCCGTTGCCCAGCTCAACGGGAACCCTAAGTGCAGCGGTCTGACGGAAGATCAAAAGCGTCCTTGAGGAGCTACTATAACTACCCTGAAGGATGGAAACAGATTGCTGGGGACTAAACCTGTGCTGCCACATTGGCATATATCTGCCCATTCCATACTCCGAAGCTGAAAGGGATGGAGCGCCAGCCACAGGGAGACCCAAAGATCCGCAAATTGAATACCTTCCCCCTGTTATAACTCCATCCCATGTTGGGTCGGAGACCCTTGGAGCATTGGGCAAGTTGCTCTAAAGTATCCTCAAAAGCGCTGGGTGACAAATAACTCTCGTTCATCTGCACAACCCAATATAACCACCGAGCGACCCAGGCTTCCTGTCAGACAACTCATGATGCGATCCAAGAGAAATGCCCCCAGCCCCCGCCAGCATTCTTGTCACGCGCCCACCGCCGGGAGCTGGACGAAGTATTCGAGATGTAAGCTCTGAGTTGTTATCTATGTTGATTTATTTTATTGTATTTTTGTGAATGTTTTGTCAATGTATTTTTGTCCTTTTAAATAAAGTAAATTTAAATATAGGGCGTGCAAGGAAAAATTCTCAAACACTTCAGGGAGAACCTTGATTTTTCCTGAATCAAGTTATATTTTCTCTGAGGATGAGGGTCCCCAGGAAAGTGTCTATGAGGTTGGTACCTCGGTGGAGACGGCCTGACTTGTTGAAAAATATATATATATAATAAATATACATATATATATATATATATATATAAATATATATATAATATATATATATATATATAATATATATATGTTTGTTTATATATAATATATAGTTTAATATAAATATATATTAATTTTTTTATTAACACACTGGCCGATTCCCACCAAATGCAGTGTGGCCCGACAAAGAAAAAACTTTGCACCATCAATCCACTCCGACACTGTCTTGCCAGAAGGGTGCTTTACAAACAGTTTTTAAACTGCAACATTAACACCCCTCCTTCAGAGTGCAGCACTGTACTTCCCACGATCCAGGACTCAAGTCCGGCCTGCCGGTTTTCCCCTGAACCCCTGCAAAATGTTTACTTTGGGGGAGATATAGCCAACAGCACGTCAAGTATAAAAAACACCTCACGCATGCCTGCTGGAAGTCCAAGCCCCTCGCACACAAAAACCTCTTTATCCCCCTCCCTCCAACTTTCCTAGGCCGACCCCTACCCCCCTTCCTTCCTCCATATAAATAAATAAATATATATATAATATATATTATATATATATATATATATATAATATATGACATATAATATATAAATATATATATATATAAATATATATATATATATAAATATATATACATATATGTCGTGCCGAATATGTAAAACTATCAATTAGCAAGAATTCATATAAAATTAAGTTCCTTTCTTAAAAATTTTTCTGTATACGTTTAAAGATATGAATTTTTTTCTTTAATGTTTTAATGTAAAAATTATTAATTTTGCCCCAGAAAGAATCTTAGAAAACTTACCTAACCTTATTATAACAGGAAAAAATTTGATTTTAGCCTACCCAACTAAATATATATTAATTTGTTTACAGTAATTTGAATACTAAACAAACACAGGAAATATATATTTTTCGTTAGGTTGAGATGATTTATGACGAAATTTAATGCATACGCAAATTTTCACTTGTCGCTATATGGCGATGAACGTTGCTATTAAACCAAGATCGGAAATTCTGCCTATTCGCTCTCGCTTCACACGGTGAGGGCCCTGGTTCGGATTCCCAAGCCAGAGTAGAAACATTGGACGTGTTAGTTTCCCACCTGTGTCTATGTTCCCCATCATTAAAATGGTGTACCTGGGTGTTAGTCGACTGGTGAGTGGGTCGCAATCGCCTGTGACACTGACCCTAAGGAGGCCTGTCCACAGACCGGGGCCGCGGGGCGTTGAGCCCCGAACTCTCTCCAGTAAACACTCCAGGAATATATATATATATATATATATAAACTATTATATATACTAATAAATATATATATAAATATGATATATAATTTATAATATATTTATTAATATATATATATATATATTATATATATAAAAATATATATATATATATAAATATATATAAATATTGTATATATAGTAAACATATATAATTATATATATTTATATATATTAATATATAATATATATAAAGTAAATATATATATATATATATATATATATATATATATATAAATATATATATATATATATGTAATATATAATATGTATAAATACATATATATATATTATAAATAATATATAAGTTATATATAAATATATATATATAAATAAATATATATAATATATATATATATATAAATATATATATAGATATAAATATATATATAATAGTATATATAAAGTATATATATATAAAATATATATATATATAAAATATCAATAAGATCACAGTAAACATGTGATTTTCAGATCTGCAAAGGGGGGGGACCACCCACTGTGACAGACAAAAGAAGATCCAAGCACTTTTTCGTGATACACACAATTGTTCAAGGAACAAATGAAGAGTAAAAGCAATCAAAGGAGGTAAATAAAGGGGTAGCCCACACCTCACTAATCAGATCTCCAACAAACAAAGAAACACCTGACGCGAGACAGCAGGCCCGCCGGTTCCGAACTAGACATGTCCTTCACACAACCCACCAACAAACTATTCTACCCAAGAAATAAGAAATTTAAAATATTATTATTTGTCCAATGTATTATTAAATTTTTCCCAAATTCTATTAATTATAAATGGATCTAATTTATATAAACCAAAGGAAATATTCATATTATTGTCAAAACTGCTTTTCATGAAACAAGATTCAATTATAGTCCTGTCGACCATGGACTTGCTTGATACTACTTTCTCAACTTTTTGAAAATTAATTGGATAGTTAAAATCTCTTACATGAATAAATAGAGCATTGGAATCTTGTCCGGTTCTAATGCTATATTTATGTTATTTTAATCTTAGTTCGAGATTTTTACCAGTTTGACCGTAATAAACTTTATCGCAAATTTTACAAGGAATCTTATAGACACGGCCATTTTGGGGGGAATTCTTTTTCAAAAGTTTTTTTTACTGTATCAAGATTTTTGAATACAACTTTAATATTAAAAGTCTTAAGAAGAGAAGGCATATCAACCAAGTTTTCATGGTAAGGGAGAACCAAACTAAAAATATGTTGGTTCTCCCTTACCATGAAAACTTGGTTGATATGCCTTCTCTTCTTAAGACTTTTAATATTGAAGTTGTATTCAAAAATCTTGATACAGTAAAAAATTTTGATAAAGAATTTCCCCCAAAATGCTGATGGATGTGTCTATAAGTTCCTTGTAAAATTTGCGATAAAGTTTATTGCTGTCAAACTGGTAAAAATCTCGAACTAAGATTAAAACAACATAAATATAGCATTAGAACTGGACAAGATTCCAATGCTCTATTTATTCATGCAAGAGATTTTAACCATCCAATTGATTTTCAAAAAGTTGAGAAAGTAGTATCAAGCAAGTCCATGGTCGACAGGAATATAATTGAATCTTGTTTCATAAAAAAGCAGTTTTTGCCAATAGTATGAATATTTCCTTTTGGTTTATATAAAATTAGATCCATTATAATTAATAAATTGGGAAGAATATAATAATACATTGGACAAATAATAATATTTTTAAATTTCTTATTTCTTGGGTATAACAGTTTGTTGGTGGGTTTGTGAATGACCTGTCCAAGTTCGGCCCGCGGGCCTGCTGGTCCTCGCGTCAGGTGTTTCTTTGTTGTGGGATCTGATAGTGAGTGTGGGCTACCCCTTTAAAATACCTTCCTTTGATGCCCTTACTTTGATTGTTTCCTATGACGAATGTAGAGTAGTCACGAAAAAGCTTGGAATTTCTCTATCTTTCACGTGGTTGTTTTGCATATTCAATATATATAATGTAATATATATATATATAAAATAATATAGAAATATATATAAAATATAATATATATATATATATATATATATATAATATATATATATATATATATATATGTGTGTGTGGTGGGTGTGTGTGTGTGTGTCTCATATTAGTCA